GTCCCCAGTGACCCGTGCCCCGTGCTGGCAGTGCCACCCCATCGCAGAAGTACTCGAGCCGCGGTGGGCGCGGTGAGGTGGTGTCCTCGCTGGGGGCCGGGCAGGACCTGTCCTGGAGCGGCCGCGGTGGCCACGGATGTGCTCCGAAGCTCTACGGCTGTCCCGAGGAGCAGCTCACCAAACCCTACAAGTTCATGTTCCAGAAGCTGCTGGACATCCGAGAAGGTTCTGCCCCACCTCCCTTTGGGGTGTCCCCTCAGATTTTGGGGTGCTCCAAGCTCTTTTGGTGACTCTCTCATCCCCCCTCAGCGCTCTCCTGGCGGATAGAGGAACTCGGAGATGCACTGAAGTGTCACCACCACCTGGAGAACTTCACCTCGGCTATTCTCCCATCACAGGTGACACCCCGAAACCTCCTCCCACCCCCAAACCTTTTGGCAGGAATTTCTCCCCATTTTGGGCTCCAACCCCCAAACTGGGGCTGTTCCCAGGAAGCAGTGACGGTGCTGGGAATGATCGGCTGCGATGGGAATGGGAAGCTCAACGCCAAGTCGGTGGTGCTGGTGGGAGACCGGGAACATTCCGGAGGGGCACAGATTCCCCTCGACCTCTCAGAGCTGCAGGAGTATTCCCTTTTCCCTGGTCAGGTCCGGATTTGGGAGATCCCAACTTTCCTGTCTCCCTATTTTCCTCCCTCCCTACCTCTCCCAGGGGTTGATCCTGTTTCCTTCCCAACAGGTTGTGGCACTGGAAGGAACCAACAGCACTGGGAAGAGGCTGGTGGTGTCCAAGTTCTATGAGGTGACACTGGTGGTGGTTCCCAGTCTTCCCACCAAAGATTTGTTTTAGGGGTTGGAAAAGGAGGATTTGGAGACATCTCTGGTTTTTCCATAGGGAGTTCCACTGCCCTTCCACATTCCCACCGAGACAGAGTCAGGTGAGTCCTGATGCTTCCTATTTTTGTCCCCTTTGGTCTTCGCAGCTCCTCCTTTTCTCTCCCAAACTTCCCTCTGTGTCCCTAAATCACATTTCCAGCCCTCGAATCCCATTTTTTCTCCCGAAAATGTCCTTTTATATCCCAAAAATCCCCTTTCCGTGCCCTGAATCCTCCATTTTGGATCCCAAATGTCCTTTATTTCCTCCTCCAAACGCCCTTTTTTATCCCCAAACCTCCATTTTCCATCCCCAAAACTCCTTGTCCTCCCTAAACTCTCTAAACTGGCTCTGTCCCTGCCAAACCTAAACTCTCTAAACTGGCTCTGTCCCCACCAACATGTCCCTTCTCCCTCCCAAATCCCTCAGATCTCCAGATCTCCCCCCAAACACTTTTCTCTCCCCCCAAACCTGCAAATCTCCCCCCAAAGCCCCAAATGTCCCCCCAGATCTCCCCCCCAAA